AATGTGTACGTGATGAAGAAGTGGAAAAAGATACCAAATTCACCATGGATATTTTCCATTTCAAAGGAAATGGCCCACTCCTTACTGTCTAAGTACTTTGCAGTAGTATTGGAGGAGTATTGACGTGTCTGGGCAAATTTTAATAGAAAAACATAGTTGTTGAGTCTGTGGTAGATCAACCAAGGACACCTAGCATCGCTAAAAATGTTGGTTAGTGCAGCTTTATGTACCTTTCTCACAAGCACTTGCAGTGTTTTTTCATGAAAAGTTCACAAAGAAAAAAGCTAAAATGCAGCAATTAAGTGTTCCAATCAAAGGTCCAGTGTTTAACATTCAAGAGGATCTATTGGCAGAAATTGAAAACAATATGCATAACTGTGTTTTCATCAGTGTATAATCACCTGAAAATAAATCATTATGTGTTTGATACCTTAGAATGAGCCTTTTATATCTATAGACCAACCCGGTTGCTATAGACACAGCAGGTCGCTTGCATTGAGTCTGCCATGCTGACCTACTATGTTTCTACAATGGCCCAGAAGAGACAAACCAAACACTGGCACTAGACATGGGCATTTGTGTTTTTATTTGCGGCGACTGTAGTTTCTCCTTTGTGGTTAGAAAGGGAAGGTGAAGTGAGGCAGTTGCAATCTGCAACTATTGCCACTATATGCCACTAAATCCTACGCAGTGGTCCTTTAAGCTAGTACACTGGTTCCTGACCACTAGGGGTCACCAAAGCTTCATGGGGGGTTGCAAGGCTGACAAGAAAACTTTAAAAACAATATATATAGTTGGCCTATATCTCAGTATTTCATACATTTCTGTGAAGAAAACTAAATGAGCTGTTATTTTTAAAGTTTAGACTATTGTTTAAGATATAAATGTAAAATAAATCTCACATTATAAGGGCACAATGGAGACCTGAACACAAGATAAACTCCCTTATCCTGCATGAGAAAAGTATGAGAGCCACTGGAACAATGGCCAAGCATCAGGACAAGAAAACACTAAATTTGTCAAGAAATACAAAGAAATAATAAACATACTTCAGACATAGAACTGAATAACAAAATTCCCAAAAATATCAGGAAAACTCATCCCTGATGCAATATTTACAGGAAATATCTACATACTATATATGTGTGTACAGTTGTTGTTATGCATTAAATAGAATATGACACTTAGTCAGGGGTCATTATTTTACTCAATAATAGAAAAGGGGTTCCTAAATGAAAAAGGTTGAGAAACAACTGAGTTATTGGGAGGAATTGGGCAAGTTGCTCGGGTAACCAACTTGGGAGCACTGGTGCCTAATTTACCTTCCCTTTGCCCAATGGTTTCCTGGTCCTCAAACCAGCAACCTTACAATCATCTCATCGCTTCTCTGGGAAACCATCTCCACTCAAACTACTTCTACAACAACCGCTGCAGCTGAAGAAGTCATTATTATGTCCACTTCACGCCATGAGATGCTGAGCCGCTGACAGGCACTCAACCTGGCACAGATTGCTACGGAGTGCTTAGATTTTTGTGTTTGTCAGCTGTCAAAAACATATAGAATGTCTCATCCAGGTCTGAACTACACAGAGGGACATAATTATTGTGTGTTCCTTGGTACGTCACCCAGCTCTCGAGGAGAGGCGAGCTCGGTCAGTCTCATCGACTCCCATCACCCACACAGCTTCTCCTCCTAATCTCACACTGTAATAGAAATGTATGTGTGTGTGTG